CACTATCTAGTTCCTATATTTGAAGTTTACAACTTACATAAAAATAATATTTACTTATTGACTTTTTTAAACATTAAAATCAAATAAATTTCATCATTTCAGCATTTAAATGAGTTATTTGACCATTTAAATGATTTTCATAACATAATAGCAATCAGTATTTAAATTAATTAGAAATAAATATCACAAGCCTCTGACAAATTTCACTGCACTAATGTAACAACACGGGATAATGACAAAATATCACAAGCCTCTGACAAATTTCATTGCATTAATATAATAACATACACATAAAAGGTTTGTAATGAAAGTTACTTATCAATGGGCTTTACATGGACTGGTGATTCAATCTGTCCTATTACATTGTGCCTTGTCTGTGGCAAAGGACTTATAGATGCAACAATGGCTCCAGCAAAACTGAATTGGTTGGGTAGGGCTGGAGATAGTACCCAACAGAATTTCCCTACTGCCTGAATAAACAGGAAGGAGTATGGGAGAGGCTTAAGTTCAATTTGTATACAAAGAAGTGGCAGAGAAAGCTCTGCTGAAACACAATGATAAAGACTGGCATTTTACCAATGAAAAAGTTACAGTGATTGGAACATACTGTCTTTTGGTAATTTTAATGGTTAGTCATAAATTTCAAATATTAATTACCACTTACATAAGAAGCAGCAGGAAGTATATAATTTGATTAGACCATGAAGGTAATATGAAGGCTTCCCATTCTGTTTTCTTCTCCTAGTCTTACCCAAGTAGACATTTTATGAACATCTGCTGGAATTCTGTCGTCATAAGCCAAACATTTGGACAACTACAGCAGGAAGAAATTTTACACTGTATCTTATCGAAAGATGCATGATTTAGGAAGTAAAGTTTTTTTAATAAAATAGAGAAATGTGTGTGTGTGTCTGTGTGTTTATATATATATAATATATATATAAACTTAATGATTGATATATATATATATATATCAATCATTAAGTTTATATGGAGTGGCAAATGCACACAAGTGATGCAGTCTTGTGAGCACGAGCTAGTCAGATCAGCTTAACAGCAGCTTCTTACCTGGTTCCTCTTGATCTGGTATGTGTTGATGGCAGTTGTTTGCACACAACTTTGATTTTTTCACTTCAGCAATTCTTGTTGCAACCTCCACTAAGACAATAAATAGATCTTGAATTGTTCCATTCCAGTTTCAAGCTACCGAAAGTGAGTTTTAGTATGAGCACATTGAGAACAAGAAAACAAAAGCTTTATTTTTTATTAGTAGGTAACATGTGAGAATCGCAAGGCAGTGACCTGGAACATTATTATGATGATAGCTTATACTGTATGAAAAATAAAACTTTGCACTGACATATTATTTGGCAGTAAAATGAAAGACTTACTTTCATGTTTCTATGAGTGCATGTCTAGAGATCTGTAACAAATGCAGATATTTTCTGTTTAATTTTTAGAATTATGTGGTTTGTGCTGAATTGGGATACATGTTTTGGGACAACTGTACAGGAAACAGTACCTTTGAGTTAGTTATAGAACTATATATATACAGGGTGTCCCAGGAGGAATGTGCCAAACTTCGGGAGGGTGTTCCTTATGTTAAAGTATGCCGATATAACCCAAAACACCTATGTCCAAAGTTGAACGGTTACGGAGATAATGGCCAGAGAAGTGTCAAACTTTGACCGGGGTTACACACTTGTTGATTACAAAATAGATATTAAAACTGGCAGGAATATGTGGATTCTGTAATGTTAATAATGTACGTAACATCAAACTAACTTGTGAGTGACATGAAGCCATAAAATTGAAGTACAAAAAACTCGCATGCCATCTCAAAGTTGTCGTTAAGAGTTCCAAGCACTGTACATGACACATGAATGGTAAGCGATGACGTAACGTGCTGACTGCGCGTTCTGATAAAGCCAACTCCATAAGCACGGATAGGATGAATCACGGCAGTCAAGGACAAACAGAGATAATTCCTCTCAGCTGATAGGTATAATCCTTGGACCCGCTAGAAGACCACACTTTTCTCGGGCCATTATCTCCGTAACCGTTCAACTTTGGACATAGGTGTTTTGGGTTATATCGGCATACTTTAACATAAGGAACACCCTCCCGAAGTTGATCCCAGAAAACTGAAAGAGTATAAAGTTGGAAGCAATTGCAGTGGAAAAAAAGGTCCAATGAAAATAATAATTTTCTTAAAATGTAAGGTGTCAAAAAAATATTATTATTGACATGTTGAATACTTGTGAAGTAGAGTGCATTGGTTTGTTGATAGAATGAGGCTAACTCAGTTTTGTAAAACAGATTTCAACATTATTAGAAACCCCATGCATTAGTTACACATTTGAATAATACTACAATTTTTTTTTTAATATTACTTTTGAAAAGACAGAATTTATGGAGTTCACATATATGACTACACATGTAGTTTCATGTATTATGTATTTACCTTTGTATTCTGGTTCTCATGCCTTCATTTGCTGGCTATCTACTCTAATCATCATGTGTGACCAGATGCTGTGACTTTTATTTACAAGATTGCTCTGATTCTATCATGTGTATTATATAC